TGCTTTCAGGCGGCGTCACAGTAGCACCTCAAAATCTTGTTCTGGTTGGCACTTTCGCAACGCGTGTGTGTTCCGAGTGCCCGGCGTGAGTGGCAAATAATAAACACATGCAGCGGTTGAGCGCAAGTTGGAGCGAGATTCTAGCACCACGTTGACGCCGACGTACAGCATAAATTCTGCTTCCCACAGCCAAGGTACCTCGCAGTGCGACTGGGTCAAAAGCAATGCTTTCCGCTGTTCGCGTTTCTTTCAATCGCAATAGTACGTACCTGATGAAGTTGCTTCCAAAGTCTGCAATGCACGTGCTGTAGACATTCTGGACAGTCGAGGAAGGTCTCCTCGACGTTTTGCACAAAATCAGCACAACATTTCAGGAGAGGAAGAGCGCGAAACATCCTTAAAGCCGGACTGGGGTTGTGCAGTTTTGCGTTTGATTTGCGAAGCGTCTGCTCGCGTGGCCGTGTATATGTGTCGTTTCGCCACGCTTGCAACAGATGGTGTGACGCACTTTTCGAAATGGCAACACGCGCTGAGCTCTGTGTGTTCTAGTGTATAGACGCTTGGACGTACTGTAGCTTTCTTCACAACACATCACCGCTCTATATGCCTCAATCGATTGATTATCGCTATGACGTATAGGTATTCGTAAAACCCAAATCTTTTCTACAGAGCGGACCAATCGAGTGGAATCAGCTTTCCTTGCCCGAAAAGTGGTGATGATGATATGTGCGTTTAATGTCCCGAAACAGTTATCCCGAGGTCCCTCATTGCAGAAATCCTTTGGCCGCATTCGCATTCTTGGCGACAAGTCCCGTGTGGTGGTCTTGGCCTCTCATGTCTCGGTGAGGAGGTTGATACGTGGGGTCGTTGCAGGCTTGCTGTTGTAGCCTTCGTGGAGCCACGGGCACTCAGCTATTAGGTGTGGCAGTGTGTCTGGCATATAGGCCATTTGTATACGCGAAGCGTCGGGTACATTCGGCGTAGTAGGATACCGTGCTTATACGTATTAGTTTACAGTCTTCGGAATGCGGCGGCTTAGTCAGCTTGGGTGGCGGATACACTCTGCAGTTTTCGGAATGCTGCGGCTTAGTCAGCTTGGGTGGCGGATACACTCTGCAGTCTTCGGAATGCCGCGGCTTAGTCAGCTTGGGTGGCGGATACACCCTGCGAGCTAGGCAATGGAGTATGGCGTTATGTAGGGGGTACGGTCTCCAGCTCTGCAGCAATGCTGGCTAACTGCGTATCGAGCGAGGTGGCCCCGTTTGATGTGACCATGAGCCGCATTGTTTTTCTCGAGTATACCATATTCTTTTTTACCAAGTGTATTCTGTCGCATCTTTGTTCTGGCTTTATCCAATATAATGACGTTGGCCTTGAGCATATTCAGAAACAGCTATGGCAGTTTATGCATGTTTGGCTTTTTCATCTCGGCTTCACAGGTTCGCTTGTGCTATTGGCCTGCCAGCTTAATAGATGACCGGTAATATAGGCAATCGCAGGGAACTGTGGGATACTACGGCTTCCGGTTCAACGCACCATGCGGGTTAGCAGCGGCAAGCGTGCATTTTTGTACCGTTCCGTTGAAGAAAGCATCTTCCTGTGCATTGTCAGTGCTTTAGAAGTTGTTTTATTGTTTCTGCTAATCGTGACTGCGACGATGACAAGCTACGAAAGCTATGAACGATAAGAAAACTTTTTCACCGCACTTAAACTATCTGCAATGCTCTTATGTAGCTCGGCGTATACTGTCAGTTTCTCTAGCAGATCACTCGATACAGAAGACAGTTTTTATTGTATGATTCGTTACTGTGCAGATAAAAATCCACATTTTAAAGATATCAGGGGATGAGGATGACTGTAGCAGTGTGCCAAGAGTTCATTTCGGGATCGCTGCTTCGGCCGACATCGTCGGTCTATCGGCATGAAGCGCAGCACTTATTGAGCGCATTGAGATATCCTTTTTTTCTAGCCTTCAGCGCACTATAAGATGCTTTTCTCGGTCAATTGATTGAATGATTGATACGTGGGCTTTAACGTACCAAAACCACCATATGATTCTGAGAGACGCCGTAGTGGAGGGCTCCGGAAACTTCGACCACCTATTTCTTAGTCGAAGCCAAATGCTTATTGGAACGCTAATCTTGATCAAGCTGCGAGGCACGGCGGCGCATAAACAATGTATACAGTCAGACATAGACGGCGCTGAATAATCGAAACCCTGCGTTTGTTTAACGCAGTTCTTACTTTGTCTGCCGTCATGGCGCACAGTTTAACGAAGATAAATGCAAATGAACTCGTCCAGCGCTTCGTGTAAACTTACTCTTGAGTGAGCCTTTCGCGTTTTTGTCGTATATTATATGGGCGCAATTGCCGGTGCTCATCTCGTATGGCAGGTGGATTTCGCCCACGTGTTTCCATAGTATTTTTGCTAGGTGCGCCTGCGCGACAGTTTATTTCTCCATATAATACCGCAGCAGATCCGTGCGTAAGCTTTTTATTAGTGCGTAATACATACATACCTGTGATAAACTGGTCTTCGCACACTCTGACTTAAACGTTCGGTACCCAAAGTCTACTTGTCTCTGTGGCTCTCTTCACAGCCGCGGCCCACCTCATTTTGCTTTCTTCGTTTCACGGGAATCGATGCATGCATTTGCCTTTCACGCTCGAGTTGGAGCACCCAACGACTGAACAACCGACCAGCGTTTATCAAGACGAAGATAAACGGGCGACCGCGCATGCGAATCCCGAATAATCTGATTCTGGAGGCGAAGCGGTTCACCGTCGTCTGCTCTTGTCGAACCGGAAGCCGGCAGGAGACGACGCATCCCACAAACCCTCGCTCTTTTACTGGTCACCTATTCTTCAGTACGCGCAGTAGCTCCAATGCGCTTGCAGGTAACCGGCCTAATCACCAGCGTCGTGCATCGTCGGGCTCTTGCAATGTCACCTAGATAATTTCAGGCCTCCTCACTGTACCGCGGGCTCTGACGTCACCATGTCTAGACTGGCGGGTCAATTCACGCCAAAAGTCCCAGCCATTTTCGCGACCATCTCAAGTGTACGCCAAAAAAATCATGCTGATTTACTGCATTGCAAACAGTGAACTGCTAAAATATTTTGGAGAGAAAATAATGTTTGGTCACGTGGCTGCCTCCTGAACTTCCTGGAATGTCGTTTGTGTGTTGTGTGTAGAAAAAAATATTTTATTAAATATACCGCTCCTTTTTTCTGTAACAAATTTATTCTACACGTTAAGTAAAGGTGCTTGTGTAAGGTGTTTGAAGCTCAGTAATGTTAGGGCAATTTTTCTGGCACATAGGCTTCCAAGAATTTAGCCAAAATTTGTTCTTTTGCATTCTTTCTATTGCAATACTGCAAGTTGTATGAATATCTGTGTTTTGAATACTTGCTTCACAGATGGTGTATTTTGAGGGAAAAATAGTTTCAGATCTCTCAAGCTTCAAACAAGAAAAAATAACAAATTTTGCAAAACCGTCATTTTCGTTCATATTGAGACGCAATTTGCACCATGTGGTAGTTCAATTAAAAATAACATTTATACCTAAATCAAAAACAAATAAGCATTTATTTTTATATGGCAAATCTAATCATTAAAATTTTGTTTTAAGGAAGAAAATAATTTTTGAACTTTCCCATTGGCGCTTCTTTTCCCATTTGGTCATACGGCAGCTGCCGCCTTGAAATTTTGCATTGCCGCCAATGGGAAAGTTCAAAATTGATTTTCTTCCTTAAAACAAATTTTATGATGATATTTGCCATATAAAAATAACTGCGTATTTGCATTTGATTTAGCTATAAAGGTGATGTTAATTTGAGCTACCAAATGGTGCAAATGGCATCTCGATATGGACAAAAATGATGATTTTGCGAAATTAGTTATTTTTTTCTCGTAATGTTTAGCGGTTTCAAAGTCTTAAAATATTTTTTACTAACAATAAACTTTCTGTGTAGTAAGTATTCACTACTCAGATATTTATGCAAAGTGCAGTTTTGCAATATAGAAAATTCAAACATATCAAATTTTGGCTAAATTCTTGGAGGCGTATGTGCCATTAAAATTGCACTAATATTTCTGAGCCTCAGCTTAAACAATCACATTACTTAACATATATGTAGACCGAATTTGGTATAGAAAGATGTCGTGGTACTTCTAAAATATTTTTTTCCACAAACAACACCCAAGCAACATTGCAGGAAGTTCAGAAGGCAGCCACGTGACTAAATGTTTTCTGTTCTCTCGGAAATATTCTACCGTTTCACTGTTTTCCATGCAGTAAATCAGAATTTTTTTCCCAAATACATTTGAGATAATCGCTGAAATGGCTGGGACGTTTGGTATGGATTGACCCTGGTGTGTTTTTCTGCACATCGTGAGTACACTTGCTCTCGTTGCTCAACAGACATGAATTGCCAAGCCCGATTAACATTGTCGTGGTGTGCAAGTGCGCTTGTTGGCGACTTGAGAAGACGATCTTTTTCCGTGTCCGTAAACTGCAGCGTGGACATGTGATGCGCTTTGTGCGCTGGATATTCGTGATCTATACGGTTGCAAATCCGAATGGTTGGGCGATGCTGCGTGACGAATCGTTGCGGCAAAGGGATTGTTGATACGTGGGGTTAAGGTCCTAAAACCACCATATGATTATGAGAGACGCCGTAGTGGAAGGCACCGTAAATTTCGACCACCTGGGGTTTTCTAACCTGCACCCAAATCTGAGCACACGGGCCTACAACATTTCCGCCTCCATCAGACATGCAGCCGCCACAGCCGGGATTCGATCCCGCGACCTGCGGGTCAGCAGCCGAGTACCTTAGCCACTAGAACACCATGGCGGGCAAATAATACAAATAATTAGAGGGCGAGCTTCTCTTAGGAATAACGGACAACAGTGAACCGTAAATAAATACGACATGTAACGACATTATTTGGAATCACTTTCCTGAATAAAGAAAAACAAGGTAGCATAACAATTCACCTGCGAGTAGGAAAACTCGAGCCCCGTCACAGAGAACATGACTTCACCCGCCGTGATGAGCACGTACTGTGGAATCTGGTAGAACATGGAAACACTGTTGGGACGCACAGTCTCGTGCAGAGTGCAGTTGGTCTCCTGCATGCGGAAACATAGCAGAGGTGAGCGAGGCAATAGTTTCGTGATAAGCGTGCGCTTCAGGAGGGCGAAGGTCCTGTCATGTGAATATGCGGGGCTGACTCTGTGCCCCCTAGTCGCCCCCGTGCGCACGCCTATGTGTTTCGTCACAGCAGGCGCTTACCGTAGAGGAGGCCCCCTGCTGCGTGACAGCCAGGCTGTAGTGTCCGCCATTCTTGAGGACCACATCGCACACAGCCACCTCCTTGTTGCCGGAACCCAATAACCGGGTTGTGTACCTGCGAGCAAGTTCGAGCTGCTGGATGCTTCATCATAGGAGCGCAACTGCTGGGGCAAACTCATAGGCAAAAAAAGCTGTCTTGTCACCAAAGAAAGAGACTTAACTGCCAAACCTTCGCACGACATATTAGCGTTGATTGGTGTTTAAAATAAAGGCTTCCACATGCTGTCATCAAAGATGCAGATACTGCTTTTTCGACTACGCAAATAAACACGCAGATGCGCTGTCGCCTACATCAAACTCATCTAGTCAAACGCAAACAGTGGATCATAAACATTTAGCACTTCTCGTAATAACTTCGATCCATGCAAACTCAGCAAGATTTCATCGAGTTGCAGAAAACCGATATTCATCTGAGATTTGGCGTTAGGGTTACTCACCATAACTGACACCTTCGTTACAAAGATAAAGACCAAAAAGAAGAAATAAAAGCTACCATTTATGGCTTAGGATAGCAGGGTGAAAGCTGCAATAGCTGCACCTTGAGTAGCCGCACCATCCCGTGACAATGGAATCATAAAAAAAGCATTATTCGGTTAGCTCAGACAACAATTTGAACTCACAGTGCAAAAACAAACACACACAGACACTGAAAACACCTACATATTTGTTAGAGAAAATGAAACATTCAGAAACCATCCTTAAGATTAAGTTTTCGGACATTCACACGTAATGTGTCAGTCATCTGTTAGTTTGAACTTGTTTAGTACATTGGGCAGGCGATGCTGCAGTAGTTGTGGTCCATAGTTTGTACTGCGTGGCCGTCGATTGTAACAATGATCAGTGTGTCCCATTGAACGTGTAGAGGGATTTAGGGTCAAGTTTGCTATTGTGCGTATGTAGCAGCTGTTTTTTGAATTAGTGCTGATATAATTATTGTTTCTCCACATTGTTCATAAAAAGTTCAATTGTTAAAATCTAAAATTTTGCAAAAGGCTTACACGCATGTACATTGTACGGAATACCTGAAATGGGACCTATTGTATTTTCGTATGATTAAGTTTCATAATGACTTTTTAGCCCTGGGTACCCGAAGTAAATGACAGTAGTGTAAATGGGAAGTAAGTAGAGAATTGTGTATTATAAGTTTTTGCCTTTCTGGTAATGCTAGTTGATATTTTGAAGTATTTTGACTACTCTAGAAAGCTTATTTCTTACGTAATTTGTGTGGTGCAACCAAGACGTATTTGTGGACGCCCCTCTTGGTGTCTTTGGAAAGGGTAACAACTCTATTTGTATAATGTTTGAGTGTAAATAATCAAACAGAATACATCGGGTAGACTTTTTTTTTTTGAAAGTAACCCGTTTAGTTTTAGGACAGTTTAGTCGTTAAGAATTTATTGCTCTCGAAGGGCACAGTCAAGCTAATGCATCATTTTCCGGTGATATGATAATGTCCATATTTGCTCCAGACAAAAATTTGCGTCATCTCTATAAATAACATATTCTGTTTATGAGAAATGGTGTATACCTGAACACAAGATATTGTGAATGTAGCTCGACGGTGACATCAACAAGTACAAAAAAACCTGTACTGTGGACTCTTTCAAATTGCCGTCGATCAAGGAGAGAAACAGCAGGGGGGGCGCACATATATTACATGAGGTACCTCTCGGTCACTCAGTGGTTAACGAGCTTCAATAAAGGTTTCTTTCCTCCTCCTATATTACATCACAAAGTAGGCAGAGGGCTGACCGCCACCGTAGCTCAATGGTAGAGCATCGGGCTTGTTATTCGAAAGTCGCAGGTTCGAATCCCGCTGGTAGCAAGTCATCCTTTTGTGGACTTTTCTTTCTTCACACTACAATTGCTTTTATTACCAGCCCCCTGCCATTATTGTCTGGTAGTTCTCAATATTACAAAGGAAACGAGCCCATAAAATTTACTCTTTCCTATATTCTGTTGAAGTATCTATTTTCTTAATGTTTATAAAACATGTGGCAGATTCATAGGAATCGTTAGAACACGAAAATCAAAAGCATCTTCACTAAAGTAGTAGTTACTGAGTCGTGATTGCGAGAGCGTGTACAAGGTCTATTGCTGTTTGGCAGCTATATCGCTGTTTCACGTGGATGAACCCACGTTGACGCCTTGTGCGATCACCAACGCTCATGATTATGATTTACCTGTTGTAGAACTTTTCACTCTATACATGTACCACGGCAGGACCGGTAATGCGTGCGAGCCTTATGCTCTTCGCGATGCGTCTGTTTCCACCGCCCGTTGCAACATCAATTCGTCCTTGCGATCACTATTGCTGTCCATGCAAAAGTAGACGACATCGTACGCCGTCCTTCTTGGCAAGCAGGAAGGTGTTTACAGCGAGAAGGGTCCCTCGCGTTGAGCAACCACGGAGAAACGCTACCATTGCGATCAATTCGATAGGGAAGACTCACACGCCATGCGGCCCTATTCAAAAACGGCTCCATGGGCGCTGTCCTCTCTGGTGGTGGTAATTGTGGTTGTAAGGAAGAGGAAAAAGGCACCTAATTTTTGTCTGCCTCAAGGGTGACACGGCGCAGTGACTTATAGGGGGTGGGGAAAGGAGGGATAAAAAGAATAGAAGGAAATAGATGAAGAAAAAGAGAAGGCAAGCGACGGAAAACAGAAGGAGATAGGAAAGTGGGGATGCGGTCGAAGCAGTCCAAGGGCGGGGCACCACAATGCGAGAGCTTCACGGCGTCAGGAGACCGCAGAGGGTGAACCAGTCGGCGGGAGCTACGCTGTCGTCGGAGATCGCGAGGGCACGACCGTCCAGCTTGAAATCCTCCCAGCGAAATCTGCGCAAATTGGCATGACCCTCCAGAAATGCACTAACTTCGCACTCCCACTCACCGCCCAGCATGGTGGTCTTCCTCCTGTGTATACAGCATATCGAGCGCAACGGAGACATGCGCTGTGAACTCTCTCAAATTGTCGTCAATAAAGAAGAGAAACGGCGGCGCGTGCACTCCCGAGGGATTTACGCCTGTGCTCACGCACCACAGTGCCCTTCAGAGCGACAAAGGTTCGTAGCTCGATCTGAGAACGCGCACGCCGTTTCTCCACATCATTCGCTTCCGAGACCTTCGGTGATACTGTTGTCACGTAAACGTTGATGTTGCTATTTTTTTTTAACTCTTGGCTCGTTCCAATGTCGCCCAAGAGTAGGGTTGCGGTAGTCGAACCGGCTTTGTTGTGCTCGTAGGAAGCTTCCTACGAGGAAGCTTCCTCGTAGAAGGCTTCCTTCCTATTAGGGGGTTGTTTCTCAGGTAGAGGGTCACTAACGGCTTTCCACGGCGCCGGGAAGTCTGCGGGGGAGCTGCAGTGTGGAAGCCTAAACAGACGTCGCGGTAGTTTTCTGTGTGTGTTTACTTTATTTTAGATATTTATTCCTTAAGTTGACAGCAGTTCTCTGGGTGAAACCCGGTGGAGGCCCCCGCGCTTAGATGTACCTGTTTGCATTTGTTCCATCCAATTCGAGTCCTCAAAGGAGACGTTTGTGTCGTCCTTTCCGGTTTGGTCTCCGGGCGGGCTCTCTGGGGCTGTTGCCAGAGGAGCCGGAGGAGAGTCGCATGGTGTACGCTGCTATAGAGTAGGTTGCAGCGAGTGCTGTTCAGAGTTGTACCAGTTATGTAGCGTACAAGTGTGTACAACGTCAATGCGAAGCGTTTATTCAAATAAATCAGTTTAGAAAAAGTCTATGGATCTGTTATGTGTACGTGTCGATCCTCACTCCAGCGGCGACCAAGTAGCGACCAGGACACTACGATACAAAGTGGAGGACGCTTCGTAGTAGCGAAAACTCCCGTACGACAATGCCCAGCTTGAACAGCCAGAACGGCGTGAATGACCTGGGGAGAATGGCTCACCTTCCAACCACTCCAACCTCGAGGCCCTTCATCGGCAGCCAGTCTTCAAAGCGACACCTGAAGAATCCGTATCGAAGTAGGTTACGTGCTACGAGCACGTATGTTCTCTCAACACCTGGGGTGATGATATCAAGGTGAAATTCCTTTATTTGGCTTTGAAAGGCGACGTGAAAAATGGTACACTGCGAAAATCATGACCGGCGCTCTTATTACATGAGCAGAGTAGAATTAGTTGCTTATATCTAGCTTCACTTGGCACTAAGCAGCAGACATAGCCCGCCTGAGACTAGAGAATCGAGTGAAACTGCCATCTGAGAGCCCGAAGCAGTATTATCCCGAAGTACGGCAGCTCTGTGCTCGAGTAATCCCAGTCATGAAAGAGGAAGATGATTGATTGATTGATTTGTGGGGTTTAACGTCCCAAAACCACCATATGATTATGAGAGACGCCGTAGTGGAGGGCTCCGGAAATTTCGACCACCTGGGGTTCTTTAACGTGCGCCCAAATCTGAGCACACGGGCCTACAACATTTCCGCCTCCATCGAAAATGCAGCCGCCGCAGCCGGGAATCGAACCCGCGCCCTGCGGGTCAGCAGCCGAGTACCTTAGCTACTAGACCACCGCGGCGGGGCAAAAGAGGAAGACCACGTACCACATCTATTGCGTGGACTCCATGCAGATGCTCTAAGGATAATGATTCTCGTGAACCTAACAAGTTGTGGAGAATTTTTACTAATTCTGCAGCGAGTAAATTATGCCGCGCTGATGGCCCGTGCCCATTTGACTCATTTGAACAGCTACCTCCCAACCAACGTTACGCAGCCGTGGTCGGCAGCCATTTCTGGGGAATCAATCACGACACAGCTTTCTCTGGTGAGTGCCCACATTCGCGAGCAGTGCCAGGACGCCGTGAACACGCGAATTTCGGATGCCCAACATAGCCGACGCGACGCTGTGAGCAATGTGCAATTGAAGGCCATCGCCGACTTGATTAAGACATTTGCCGATAGGTTGAAAACTGTAGAGGAAGAGGTGTGCCAGTCGCCTGCCCAATGGCCTCCTAGAACATCCCGCGGCGACGATGAACACCCCCGGTGCTATACTACTGCCATCGCCTCGGGCACCATCGCGCGGCAGTGTCACAGG